ACGTTGCAAATTTGAGGTAGTTTTTGTATCTTTATCTTAGGCCCTTCTCCATGTTATAGGTATCACACAATTAACTTAATTGTGCAACTACGTTGAGAATGGCTACACATGCAAGGTACCTATTACATGATAAAAAGATCCAACCAGCTATAAAGTTAGACTTAAAATGTGAACTAATTTTATAGTTGGTTGCTAAAATGTATACTAACTTTATAGTTGGTTGCTATTGAGCTTTATTTTGCACATCTAGCAGAGTTTCCCTATGGCTGGGACCCCCTCAGCAAAGGCACTCAGCCATGGGGGCCTGCTTCTTGCTGATACAGAGGGAACCCAGGAGCATGCCTCCCCCCACCAGCAATAAGACATGATTGGATCTAATGCACAATCCCTTGTGTGGCATGGCAGCAGGCACGATTGTGTGGATCACGCATTAGATCCAATCACAACTTTATTTGCATGTGTAGAGGGGGCCTTACAGAAATCTCAAGCCTCATCTGTGTTCAAGCACCTTGAACTCCTCAGTCCTGCTGATTTCATGAATTAGTCCCCTTAATTTCTCAAGTTTATCCTTCTGAAATTGAGAACATTCATTACAGCCATACTTCTGTTTATCCTTTTATTTAAATTACATTGAATCATTTTGTGTTCACTCAAAGGTTATTTTCAACAAGTAGAATATCTATAGTGTTCTTTTTATTCATCAAAACCAAATTGAAAATATCATTGTCTCATATTGATTTAGCGAAGAAATGTGTCAAGTATCATATCCAAAAACATTTTGATACTAGCTGTATTAGGATTTTTTTTCTAGTTTACAACTGGGAAACCATTTCCCAAAATGACACAATTCACTGTAAAATTTCTTTTTCTAGTAATACAATGAGTAATATCCAAATCCTATGGATCCTTCTTATGGGTCTATAGCGTTACAGTACTTCAGTAGAATCTCTTTCCAATTTCCCCCCTTCTGCACCCCCAAATGATATAAACTGATATTTTAGTTTAGCTCAGAAATTAAATAAAAACAAACATACACATATATATTTTGTTTCTGAGCATGACTTTATATATTCTTGCACACATCATGCCCCCAGATAAAACAAGCAAGTTGTTTTTTGGAAGGTAGAAAAATATATTTTGATTCATGACTGACTATGTTCATGAGAAGATTTACTCTCTGTTTCACTGAGTGTCCAGGAAATGTGGCTCCAGGAGATTCATGGAATATAATCATAGAAAATTAGGGATGGACGGGACCTCCAGAAGTCCTGTAGTCTAGCATTTCTGAAACCAAGAGTTGTGACCCAAAAGTGGTTCAGAAGAATATATGAAAGGATCCTCAACAAACTTTATAAATGGACTCTCCTTTAAAGGAGAAAAATGTGGGAAACTGCAGTTTTCCCCTTGCAAGCTGGTAGAGTTCCAGCCTGTATGAGGCTGCTTGGGGCTGGGAGGAGCGAGAGGAGGGTGATCAGCAGAGTTTTCTCTGATAAAAAAACAAACAAACCCAATTTTCAGACTTAAAAAAGTACCCAAAAAAGTAACATTTTTCCACAATCAAAAGAGAGACAGCACTAATACATTAGTGGTATTTCATTTTGATCCTGAAAAAAAATGTGGATTTTGAGTTACTTTTTTAATCTGAAAATTGGCAATTTTTTTTTTTTAATCAGAGAAAACTAGGCTCCCTGGTGATCAGGCAGGGGCACCACATGCATGTGCACACATGAATGTGGCAGCCAGGCAGCATGAGAGCATCTCCTGCAACTTCCCAGAGATAATTTTATGGGGTGGGGAGGCCCAGAGAAGGTGTCAGGGGTGGGAGGGCACAGGTGACATTTTGGGGGGCATTAGGTCATGTGTAGCTCCCCCCCCCCGCCAGATCTCTGCGCCCACAGCGGGCAGAGGGCTGAAGTCTGGCCCAAGAAGAAACCGCCTCTGCAGCCCAGTAGGAGGGACTCAGCATGGGAGGGCAGAGCAAGCCACTGAGTCATGTTCCTGTTGTCGCCAGAAGCCGTGTACCAGCTCTGCTGCCAGCAGCATGAGTAATGGACAGTACAGGGGCCATGCTGCCCTCACCTCCTGCTTGTATGCCAGGCTGCAGCTCCACCCAGCCCCCATGGCCTGGCTGCTGCTGCCACTCCCTTCAGACCATGGCTGTAGGTGTGGTGGCACGTAGTGTAGGTGGCCCGAGTGGAGTGGTGGTGTCCACTGGGTTATGAGAGCAGTGTAAAACTTCAACCCAGCGCATGAGCAGCTGGTGGCAGGAGAAGGTGAGGGCATAACCCTCTAGAAAGAAACCTCTGGGTTTTAGTCCCAGAAGGGGTCTAGGCACACCCTAGTCAAAAATCGACAGCCTTGGTTGTAGGTAATACCCAATGCTTCTGAGAAAGGCAACCCCCCCCCCCCACTTAAAAACCTTCTGACATATGTAGCAACAGGAAAGGGAAAGAATTCCTATAAAGGCCCATGAGGAAACCAGCAAAGCCCAGAAGCCTGAGAAATACCCATAAGCACTGCACAGACAGGCAATCTAGATCACCCCTGACCAATGCTTAATCAACCTCATTTTCAACACCTGCAATTGTTGGAGTCCCCACAGCCTCCCTAGGCAAAGTATTTCAGTGCCTCACTGCTTTAACATTGAAAAAGTTTTTCCTGATATCCAATCTAAACCTATTTCTTGCATCTTCAAGCCACTGGTATGCATCCTGCTCTTCACAGAAAAAGAAAAAAAGACCTTCTCCCTGTGCTTTAGGGCAGCCTTTCAGATATCTGTAATCATGTCCCCTCTTAAACACGTTTTCCACAAGGTGAATGTGCCTATTTCCTTCAACCTCTACTCGTATGGTTTGCCTTCCAAGCCCTTTATCATTTTGGTCACCTGACTCTGGACCCTCTCTAACTTCTCCATGTCC